AGGCGTGAGCCACCGCGCCCGGCCATGACCTCCATTTTTAATACCAGATTTAAAGTGTTTGCTTTAACAGTCTTTTAAACATAGGTTCTGCATATTTTAGTTGTAAAGTAAAAACAAAAACATGTACGATTAGCCCTTGGCATACCTGTTGGAAGACAATCAGGTGAATTATGTTCTTCTTAAGTTATTTATCTTCTAAATATTGCAAGAGAGACCTATAAAATCATTCCATCTCAACTTTTAATTCTACATTGAGTGGTAGCGCTGGGACAGAAAGGTCACGATCTTTTCAAATAGAGGATCAAATGTGCTGTGCACTGAACCCCCACTTAGGCCTGCTAAGTACTCATAAATCAGATATAACCAGGTCACCCAGAACTGTTGTCGCTCTCAAATTTAGCTCCCTGTGCAACTGTTAGTAGCGTAGCTAAAACTTAGACGGCAATAAATTCTAACCATAATGGATAATGCTGAAGGCAAGAATTCCCCGTGGCTAATACATAACACACATTGTAATTTTGTGTTGGAATAGATTCTGTTCTGCTGTATAAGAAGGTCATAAACACATCAAGTACAGTTCTACTAAGTCGATTAGTGAGAGTTTAGGGACTCCAAAATGCTTAAGAATATGTTAAGGAAATTTTGGTTTATCTTTCATAACTAGTGGCAAAAATAAGTCGTGGTAATTTTATCTTTTCTGATTCTCTTTAATTGCTTCATTCATGAAACAAAGAAATAAAAAGCTGTGTATAAATAGTATTCTGGTAATTATTTAGAACAATTGCCATTCCCATATGCCTAGACATGAAAACTATTCTTTCAATTTAAAAATGAATGCTTAACATAATACTCTGAATGTATACTTGCATATTTGTGTATCAATATCCCTGTGTGTAGACAGGTTTTGCTATGCATATCACTCATGATACATATCAACACTAGATAGTGATTATCATTGAAAAGTGGGTTTGGAGTATGAAGTGTTATAGAAGAAGAAAATATGCTAACAAATATATACAAATTTTGTAGTTCAAAAAATAAAAATACATAACAGTAAATTGTCTATGAGTTTCTCAATCACTTGAGTTTCAACATACAAAGTAAATTTGTTATAAGGGATTTGTTATGTGAACAGTGTACATTATAACACAGATCTTCAATCTAATGGCATTTTTTTTTTGAAACCACACTATTTGGAAGTCTTAATGATTTAGGGGGAAAAATTAACAAATTTGTAAGAATTGATTATATACTTACTACCTTTACAAAGTAAAGAATCTTCATTATTTCACAAATAATCTGGAAGACAGTGAAACAGTGAAAGGAAATAAGACAGTGTGTTCCAGAAATGATTTTTAAATAAAGAAACAAACTTAAAGGAAATGGCTGGCCAGAGTTGTATCTTCTACAAATTAAGTTTCACAATGAATAATGGTATATTTACAGAAGAAATTGCTTTAAAAAATACCAATTTGAAAATATAATTAGGTAGATGTAATATGTAGATAAATTTGTAGATTTTTCACAATGAGTTATTAAGGACATTCAGTCCTTTTTAATTGTAGATATTTGTTATATGCAAAATTCAGTGTGGGCTGGGATTAATAAAACA